GAAGCACTCAACCTTACGATTTATAGCAACTCCTAGCTGATAGTCAACCAGATAAAATGAGACTTTGAAGTGAAGGAGGAAAAGATGCAAGAATACCTGTCAGTGGTCCAAGCTTTGCCAAAAACTTTCAACCACTTCTAAATCCAGCATGTGCTCTGGGAGGAGAATGCCATCCAGATACGCTCACCAAGTTCGCTTTTGCAAACATACTAATAGGCCTCGCACTGAGAGATCACCAGTTTGAGCCAAGCAGGCTCAAGGCAGATAAGGACGATGTTAATTGTGCATCCTTCGAGACCAATTGGATGACACCTATCTAAGCCTATCTGGAGGAAGGAGCTCTCCTAGAGAATCTATTAGAAGCCAAGAAGTTGAGAATGAGAGCATCTAGATGCGTCATCTTGCATGACACCCTTTACAGTATAAGTTACTCACTGCCCCTACTCTGTATAAGTTACTCACTGCCCCTACTCTGCTATCTCTCTCCCAAAGAAACCGATTATGCCATAAGGGAAATCCACGAGGGAATATGTTGAAATCACTTAGGAGGGCGTGCACTAGATCACAAGGTAGTGAGGCAAGGCTACTACTAGCCTAGCATGACCAAAGACACTCGTGAATTCATAAGGAAGTACGACAAATGTCAACGCTTTGCAACAGTGCCAAGACACCCACCAGAAGAGATCACCACCATCCTAAGCCCATGACCCTTATCTATGTGGGAGATTGACATCTTAGGTCCTTTACCCATGAGTCGGGGCCAATACAAATTTGTGGTAGTAACCATTGACTACTTCACAAAGTGGGCAGTCCTTTAGCCAGAATAACAGACCAAAAAGTGAAGGACTTCATCTAAAAGTGCATAGTATACCGTTGCAGAGTACCTTATGCAATAGTAAGTGATAATGCCAAGCAGTTTGACAACAAACTTCTGCATGACTTCTATGTAGACCTATAGATCAAGCAACCCCACTCCAGCCCAGCCCCGTCGCGAATGGGCAGGTGGAGGTTATCATCATAACAATCCTCCACAACTTGAAGACTAGATTAGAAAGCACCAAAGAGGCCATGGGCGGATGAGCTCCCAGGAGTACTATGGGCTTACCCAGACAAAGCCAAGAAGCCCTACATGTGAGACCTTTTTTTTCTACTTAGCCTATGGTATAGAGACGGTTGTACAAATTGAGATTGAAGTACATTCCCTTAGGGTCCAAAACCATGACCCTACCATTAACGAATAAGGCCTCCGCATCAACCACGACTTGGTAGAGGATGAGAGGGAGATGACCATGCTCAAGAATGTAGAGTACAAGTGCCGTATGACCAAGTACAACAACTCGAGGGTGAAGCCTCGTTCTTTCTTGCTTGGGGACCCAGTACTAAGAAAAGTGATCATATCTATCAAGGACTCTCGAGAAGTGAAGTTAGGCCCTAATTGGGAGGGCCACTACATGGTGACAAAAGTTGTAAGACTAGGCACCTATAGAAATTCAGAACTCTGAAGGGAGAGTCTTGGCCCATCCATGGAATGCCGAACACCTGAAAAGGTACCATCAATAGCAGGGTATAAGTCAGTGGTCGTAATTTAATTTGCCTTTTATCACTTTAGTCAATTCTTTTTGTTATCTCTTACTTCAAATTATGAAATAAAATCTTGCAAGAGTTATTTTTTGTAGAACTATATTTTATTCCATAGATATTTGTAAACAATTTACAAAAGTTAGAACTTGACCTAACAACTAAAAGAGAGACAAAAAGATAAAATTCATCATACTCCCGACATCACTCACTACTGTCCGAACCACTCTCATCAAAGCTTTCCCTGTCGCCATCAGTCCCAAGTGCCTCATAGGGGAGGAAGCCAAAAAAGTCAATGGTAGGGAAAGCTGTAGAGGCCTTTCCCCAAAACTCTTCATAACCATCAATAAAAGCGCCTGCAACGACCCTCTTAATAGCCTCCCTCCTCTTCATCTCAATGGAATGAGCTTCTGCCCTAGTGGCTCTCTTACGAGCCACTTGCAAGTCAGCCTCTGCCACGACAGCCCTCTCTTGTGCTATCCATAGCTCAGCCTCAGCTCTAGCAGTTTCCCCAAGGGACACCCGTAGCTTTGTCTCTACTCTTGCACAGGTAGCCTCCCCGATAACCTCTAGCTTAACGGCCATCTCGTAAGACACCAAAATCTTGACCTCAAGAGGTGTGACTCTCTCATGACCTAGCCTCAATTGCTCTTCAGCAGCCTCTCATGCCTGCCTCTCTAGCTTCAATTGCTCTTCCATAGCCTCTCGTGTTTGCCTCTCTTTTGTCAGATCCTTTGATGCCTCTCCATACTTGATTGTCTTTGAAAAAAGGCACAGAAAAGCAGCGGCCACCTACAAGCATTCAGAAGGCAGAACATAACAGAAAAGACAAGCGTAAAAATCAAAATTTAAAGGGAAAATTTCAATGACACCCCTTCTAGTTTATCATATCTTCAAGGACACCCCCTCTAGTTTCTGAATCTTCAATGACACCCCTTCTAATTTAATTTAAACATCACTAACACTCCCTACAATTAAACTACTATTTCTAACAAAAACAATTCATCAAAAATACCAAAAATGCCCCTACATAACCTCAAGTAAGTTTTTTACATAAAATTTTATTAAAATTCGAGCTGTTAAATTTTTTTAAAAAAATCATAAATAACAATTTTAGTAAATAATTTGTTATTTACTAATTCGTAAATTTTAAAAAAAATAGAGCCTATTAAAATTTTATTTTTTACATATTAAAATTTGAGTCGATTTGAATTCTATCAGAGTTGTTAGCACCGATTAAAATTCTCTGTCGAGTCGATTAAAATTTATATTTTTTTACTTATTAAAATTCGTGTCAATTAAAATTATATTTATTAAAATTTAAGTCAATTAAAATTCATATATTTTTATATATTAAAATTTGGGCTGATTAAAATTCAATGTGAATTAATTAAAATTTGATTTGAGTCGATTAAAAATAATTTTTAATTGGCTCAAACAAAATTTTAACTAGCCCAAATTCTAAAGTGCAAAAAAAATATAATTTTTAATTTGTACAAATTTTAATATGTAAAAAAATAAATTTTAATTAGCTTGAATCGAATTTTAATCGGTTAGAATTTGATTACGTCAAAATAAATTAGAAAACAGAGGAGGTCTCATTGAAAATATACTTATCTAGAAGGGGTCTCATTGGAGATATGTTTATCTAGAGGGGGTGTGGATGAAGTTTATCCTCAAATATATCATGAGCAATTTAGTAAAATTACATTCTACTTAATATTTTTAATATGACAAGGGGTGTCATTGAAGATTTAGAAACTAGAGGGGGTGTGGATGAAATTTTTCCAAATTAAAAAAGGAGGATGTTATACCATAGCAAACCCCTCCATCGTAGTATCAATAATGCCTTCTACATCCCGAGAGCTGACTTGTCTACTATTTGCAGCATGGACACTGAGACACTTTTAGAAGCTGAAAAACAGCGTGGAGCTCCAGTCCCGATAGAGGATCACACAGGAATCTCAACCCCTGGAGTAGTGGTTGGACTAACCCCAACATTCGAAGGGGTTGTGTGCTGAGAAAGAGTGGGGGCACCATCGAATCCTGCCTCTCAGGAAATAACATGGCCACCAGACCTCCGAGAAGCACTGGGGGCATCGACCTTTGCTCTTTTGGGAGGTGGGGAAGATACCTCCCTGGAAGCATAGAGAGCCTCCACCATTTCTCTATCAATAGTGATACATGTGGAACTGGTATAAGAAAAATAATCTACAGTATGACAGTCATCAAAGTTTATTGGAAGAATTAAGTACCTTTCTCGTGATGGATATAAGGGTCGCAAATTCTTGATAGGATGATCCCTCACAACCTAGAGCCTACTCTCTTGCTCCGTAGATAATATGGGTGAAGTTGCAAAGGAGTTGAACATGTAGTAAAATACAAGGAGGACATGACATTCAGCTATGAAAGTAGGGAAAAAACTCATACCTAGCTTGGTCATCAGAAGGGTATCCCACCTTGAAGGCATTAAGTCACGATCCTCCTTGGTAGACTACTCACCTTCTACGAAGAAAAACCTGGACTTCTAGCTGTGATAGTTCGAATGTAATATTGTGATGAGCTTGCTTGACCTCGGAGCAAAGTAGTATCATCCCTAATGAGGAGTAGGATTATGCAGAAGCACATACAAGGCTAAGAACTCCTCGAGAGGAGGGAAAATGTCCTCACTGTGAACCAATCACTATAGTGAGACAACGCCAAAATTACCCACCAACCATTCTAGGTCAGTCTTCCCAAAGTGAGTGACAAGTGGCTTAGAATTCGACAGATAGGCCTAGGTATAGGAAATCTCAACCCTGCTTCCAAGTCGTCCTCATAAAAAACAATCTCACCGAAGGAGTCAAAACACGTTGGTTCATCCTCTTTGGCCTGGTGACACAAGACATTAGGAGGGATAGGGAAAGATGAGACAATATTGGCAATACTATTGTCACAATTTATGGAGCTAAAAATGGTAGATACCTTCGAACCATCACTGTCAGTAGTTCCCTTGCCTCGTTGTGAATCCAGTATAGTACCCTTCTTCATGCTTTTGTTAGAATGGGTGCCTGCCAGAAATCAGAGCCAATGTCAAGACAAAGTCAAAGAGTCAATGTCAAGAGAATGCCAAAAAAACAAGCCCAGCTTGGCACACCTACTCGTTGACTTCCACCAATGCTAGAGAACTGCCTGCTTGAGCCTAGGCCACTTAGCACTCCCTTGGAACTAGCGTCCAACACTGTGCTTGCACCAAACCCCAAGGCACCACAGGCTGCACCAATGCCCAAGACATCTCCAACTTAGCCATCATTTTTCCCGGCTATGCTTAGGGTGTTGTTGCCCAGTGTGTCACCTACGTCTAGGGCGCCAACGCTAGTCCTTTTTCCTCTACCCAAGGTTTCTGTTGCATCGCCCAAGTCACCTTCAACTGAGACATCGCTCTAGCTACCCCTAGTGCCGCCACCAACACCCCTAACGTCGCCCATGCTTGCCTTGTAGCTGGCGCCATCACCTACCTCGTCAAGGGCATCACCAGCCGCGCCCTGGACGCAGCTTGCCACTCTACTACCTGCGCCATGGGTGCCGCCAGCCACTCTGCTCCTACCCACACCATGGGCGTCACTTAGCACTACCTTCACTGTCCTGGCTGCCTTATTTGGCACCACCTTCTAGCTTGCCTCCTCTGGCGTCACCATAAGAATCTATGAAGGGCATCACCATAGCGTCGCCCAGGGCTTTGCCAAGCCTTGCCAGATGACTGCCAGCGTCTGATCCTACCTACAATCCCACTATGATGGCTTTGCTTGTCGTCAAAACCTCCATCTCTACCTTCTTTTGTAAAACTCCCTGCAATGGAAGATTGTTTAGCCAATCAAGAGAAAGGGGTAATGGAAAAAGTGAAAAAGTGGATAGTCTTTTAATTGGTTTACATCTATGCTGATCAATGGGTCATGCCCTAGATGAAAAAAAGGTTTTTAGCTGCTAGATTTAAAGGAAAACCCAACAGATGATTAAGTGCTACTACAATGATTGCCCGACCGCGGAGTTATCGAACGAGAAAATAAAGCTTCATGAATGCAGAAGGATGAAAGGAAAAATGAGCTACCGTGAGGAGCAAGATACTTGGACAGCCTGGAAGAAAAAGCTCGTTCATACCCTCAACCCCTTTTGTCACAACCAGGGCTTAGGGCATAGGGGCAAATGACGACCCCAAATCCAGCTGGGTCAAGGTCTAATTCATGGGGTAAACCTAAATCAATTAGAAGGTAGGTCAAAGCTAACTAATGGCCTTAGCCCAGTCCAACTTTCAAGAGTCCCAAGGTGGTCAATGCATGTGGGAATTAAAAATCGGGATAACCATTGCTCGAAGATCACACATAGCCTTGATTGTACATATCCTTAGTTGTAGCTATCCACCCTGAGAGGCTAGTGACCTAACCTTCATGTAATCGCCTCAACTAGGACTCTGTGAATATAAATTATAAGCCCTCTACACATGATGAACACATCTCACACATAACTATCTCTCATATGCCACACCTTGAGCTTACCTTTGCTCTCTCTCTCTCTCTCTCTCTCTCCCCCTCATGTATCACTTTATTTAATAGAATTCTCTGGCCACCGTCGCCGCCTTCAGTGGTTTGATCACCTAGGCCCAACCACCAAATCTTTGCCTTTTGCTATTAATTGCTTCATTAATTGCCTTGCACCATATACTTGACTGTTTGATTGTGCATAGCCTAATTTGTACATCTTCAAGATTAATCATAGGAACATTTTAGAGGCAAAAAATTGGTAATACCTCTACACGTGAATTCATGATACGATTTCTGGGAAAGAAGTCTGAACAATCTCCTAATCTCTTTCCTACAAAATGAACAAACTGCCCAAGATCGAAGTAGTTCGATTGAAGGCACTCTGATACTTAAGTCAGTAATGGAACAGAAAGAATTGCACCAAGATAAGGAGAGTTCAGCGTACCTTTTTTCTTGGCTCCTTTTGCTTTTTATAGCTGGACATGCCCTTAGTGTTTCCATAATTCTTGATTCAAGGTGGCACACCTTCCTTCAATTCAGTGATTCGGTTTGAGAAGTTGCTGATATTTCTCCATTATTTTCTCATAATATCTTCAATTTCTCTGATTCGCTTATCTGATTGCCTAAGTTATAGGCGAATCTTTATCCCTCTGTTTATTATTTAAAACAGCTCGGACATATCGAATGCCGAGCACACTTGATATTTGCCGAACATATCAAGGGTCTTGGTTTGGCACAAACCGATCTCTTCAATTACCTTGCTGAACACTTTAACGGACTCGGCTTGGTACAAGTTGAGCTCTTTCTTTGCTTAGCTGGACTGATGAGTTTGCTCATAAAGAGAAACAAACTTTTTCTTCCATTGTCGAACCTCTAATTAGCTCAGCTTGGTTAAAAAGCTTAATAAAGGATTCTTTATCATGTGCCTTGTCTTGTCAACATCAAGTGAGCACATTTAATGCCATATCACGTGTAATCATGAGGTTAAACCCCTTTATTTGGCCCTAGAAAATGTCTGACAGCCGCTTTTTGGCTATCATCCATTTTCTTATCGATTTATCATCACTTGTACTTTGTAACACGCCTTTTTGTTTTGGCGGCACATTCAGAGCATTTAAATGTTGCCCCTTTAAAATTCCTCCTTCTTTATAAATTGTCTTTCTTCGTATTTTTTCTTTTCTACTACTAGACTCTCAGACTCTTATCCTCTTCTTTCTGTATTTTTCTTCCTCTATACTTCATCTTCTTCATGGCTCCTCTAACTCCATCAGAAGTTCTTGCCTTCAAAATCAAGTACAACATCCCAGACGATGTTGAGGTTAGGGTTGCTGGGAAGGATGAACCTTTGATTGGCACCAAGGAGAGAATCCCCATCCTTACTCGTGCCATTATTGAGGGTCGAATCCATTTTTCCCTCGATCCTCTTCTTCTTTGGGTTCTCTCTACCGCAAAACTCTGCCTCCTCCAATGCTGCCTCAATTTCTTTAGGATAAACATGGGGGTGTCTGTGTTGAACAAAATCTTAAGTTTGAGTCTTGGCTTATGGGACATCCTGTACTGCTATATCATCAAAGGTACTGGAGATAGCTATTATCTTTTGGTGAGGAAGAAGGACCATTTTCTGGTCACCCATCTTCCAGATTCCAACAAAGGCCATGAGAATGATATCGTCTTTGTTTTTGGGAACTGGGAGTACACTGTTGGGGTTGTTCCCTCCTATCGTTGTCTATATGAAGAAGGCATGCCATGTATTTGATGTCTTTTACCCTTCTATTTTAGCTTTGATCTTCTATTTTTCTGACTTGGGTTTTCTTCTATACAGGTGAAACTGTGAAGGGAAGGATCGTTGAGTCCTCTGTCAAGATGGACCAACTTCAAAAAGTCTGGAATTTCAATGAGAGTTTGTTCTGTCGAGCCGTCCACATGCTGCTCAGGTACATTCCCACTTACACTTCATTCATTGTTGTGTCGAACCGACCCAATGCCACTTTGGTTGCAGATCAGGAGGCGATCCAAGTTGCTCAAGCACAAACACCTCAAGCCAAGAAAAGTCTTCTCTTGTGGCGTTTGGATGCAGGACGGTAAAAAATTTCCTTGATTTTTTATCAAATGTCAAACCAACTCCTTCTACTGAACCAACTCCAAACATTCTCGAGGTCCCGACCTCCATTCTTGAGGAACTTATATATGATGCTCCAGTCGAAACTTCCTTACCTGATAACAATGATCCACCGATCAGTGGACTAGCAGATGCAATTCAGACCATTGAAACTTCAATTCCAATTGAGTTAGGCCCTTCTGATATTGTTTGTTCCCCTTCTCCACAAGATGATTCACTTTTTAAACTTACCAAAGATCCAACTCCTAAAAAGAAGAGAAAGATAGCCGAGGCTGAAGTGAATCTCTCTGCTAAATCTGTGACTCCTCCTTTCAAACCAATCCTTAAGGCAAAAAGAAGAGAAATTACTGCGAAGGATTCTACAAGTGAGGATTTCAACGTTGCAGTAGGAATTGCTCGGGTGGTGATTTTGCCTCAGGACTTGGCTATGAACGAGGCCCTTACTGATGATGAGGTGTCTCGCCAAGCCATTCAACATATGATTTTGGTAAGTCTTGTTTCTAACACTCATTTCAACTTTTTTTTTGCTTTAGAAAGATTTTTCTAAGTCTTTTCCTTCTTCTTTAAAGGTCTACAAAAAGTTCATGAGGTCGGAGCTTGGATTGCTCGCAAGGATAAAGCAATGAAGGATGTTATCCATGCCCGAGCCTTGGCCTTAGCGAAAAAAGAGAGTGTTGATGAAGAATATGAAAAAATTTGCAAGGAGATGATGGTTCTGCAGGCTCAAAGCCAAAGCCTAGCTGAAGAGAACCAGAAGCTCCAAGAAGAGGTGAAGAAGCTAAAGGAGTCTGAGCATGAAATCAACATGGAACTCACTTAGTCTTAGCTTGATTACTCTATGCTTCTTGAAGAATTTGATCAATTTAAGTCTAAGGTGACTGAGAAAGAGGATGCTGCATACAATGAAGGTATGGAGAAAACTGAGGAAGACTTAGCCCTACAGATCCCTCAGCTTCAAGAGGCATTCTTCAACAGAGGTTGGCAGGCTGCTTTGACTGCTGCCGAAGTTGATCCTTCTTCCGAACTCTTTTCAAGGCATACAGTTCCGAGCTCCTCTCATACTCCTGCTCTTTCAGACACTTAGCAGACTTTTCTAAATGTTTTGAAATTTTCGTATCTGCTTTGAAATTTCTGATGTATCTGCAACTTCTAATGTACCTATCAAATGATCATGACTTTGTAGAAAATTTTTGAAGTATGAAAGAAAAATACTCTTTGGCCTTTTAATTTCTGTAATTTGTGATAATGTTTTGAGAAAATCTAAGTCCTCTTTTCTTTTCAGCTCTTAAGTTATGACCTCTGTTCGGCCTTTCTTCGAAAAGTTCAGTCCCTTAGCAGGGATCCTTTATACTTGGAAAAAATTTCTGTAGCTCTAGAATTTTTGGCCATTGTTCGGCCTTAATTCAAAGAGCTCGGTTCCTTAGCAGGAACCTTTTTATACTTAGAAAAAATTTCAAGCCTCTTTGAAATCTTGGCCCTTGCTCGGCTCTTTTTCAAAGAGCTCGGTTCCTTAGCAGGAACCTTTATATACTTAGAAAAAATTTCAAGCTTCTTTCAAATCTTGGCCCTTGCTCAGCCCTTTTTCAAAGAGCTCGGTTCCTTAGTAGGAACCTTTTTATACTTAGAAAATATTTCAAGCTTCTTTGAAATCTTGGCCCTTGCTCGACCCTTTTTCAAAGAGCTCGGTTCCTTAGTAGAGTTACTCAAAGTTCCCTTGAGGTCTAAGAGTGTTTCTACTCCGCACTGATTGGCCAATCTAATTGGACTCAAACCCATCCCTAATCAGCTTACATCGTCATGCCTAGCTGAGGGCTTGGATTTGATTGGGTGGCTGCACCTGATTTAAGCTTTTGACTTCTATCAAGTTTTTTGGCCTCCCTGCCTTAGCAGTAGGACGTATATAATGCAAAGCAAGTGTTGAAAAAAGAATCCTCAAACTTTTATTG